GTAAGTCAGTGTGATTGCATGCCGCTGGTGATCGGGATGCCATACAGATTCATGTCAAAAATACCGAACTATCCCTTTAATTGTGCGACCTGAGTAACGTGCAGTAACGGGGTGTCGGCAATTGTAACTGTGTTATAGTTACAGTTAGAGTAATCGTTTTGATTACTCGTTACTAAAAAAAGGTAGCGGCGTTAGTAACGCCGTTACTTTGAACGACGTTACTCCCATCAATGGTTGTGACAAACACCAGATACAGCACTGGGACTTGATCAACAGCCGATACCCCACCTTGACGTCACAAACCAGTAGGTGGCAGTAGTGTTCTTTGACAAACATGGATGCCTCCAGTAAAGCACATTCACATGAAAATTACTCAGAATTAAAAACACTTATTTATTGAAAAGTATGAAATATTTTTATACTTAAAGTACTTTCAGAAATCTATTCTGAATATGACCGAACTTTTTCTTTAAAAAATAAAATAAAATTATGTCCTCATTTGAGGACACTTAGATTATGTTTTACCTGTTTATTGGGCAAGTTGCCGTTTAACGGATGGAATCATTCCCGCTCCTCTATATGTTCCAGCAACTCAGGATTTATATCCAGACAATCAGCAAAGATCTTACTATGTGGTTATACTCATAATTTCGTCATTTCTCCAATCAGAGGTGACCTTGGATGCAGCTAACTTTCTCATTCTGGAAAAGTTGAAAAAAGTCCAGTTTTACAGCTCATTATTTCATCATTAGAAATAGATGGAAAATGCAGCTCTACCTGAATACCAGAACTTTAAGATTCATGTAGGAGCCATAATGATGGCTGTGCATGTGTAGGTATCACGTGGGCATATTTGCTGTGGTGACACATGCGGTGACAGCTGATTGCTTAAATGGGTGTGTTTACCTGCACTCTGGAGGAGAGAGGGGAGTCGGGTAGCCGTATTTCTTGTTGACCGTTTGCTTTATGATCTAAATCAGTATGTCACATCATGTACGTTCCAATCTGTTGTGAGTGACTACATGAGCCTCTGGACAGGATTAAAACACCAAAACTTATTCCTGGATTCCATGTGCATTTTTGATCAATGACGGCAGCGCATCATACACATACAGGACTCTATCTCCACCTCTCAAGCGACAAGGATTGTTAAGGAGTCGCTACAATTCACTATATTGAAACTCCTTTCCACTACCTTGAAAGGTACTTTGGCCCCCACATTATCACATTGCGTACCAAACCAACTTGTACGCCCCTCAAAAAGATATAAACAACACCTTCAGCAGTGATGACAATGAAATAATCTTGGTGGCCACCCTCATCTATATGGGGATTGTTCAGCTCCCAGCTGTTGATGATTGCTGGGCTATGGAGACCAAGTTGCCACCCTGGTGTCTTGAAAGAGGTTCAGACTCCTGAAAAGGTTGATCCACTTCAGTGACAATGACCAGTTCCCTAGCAGTAGTGACCGCTTCTTCAAAGTCTGGCCATTGTTCACCTTCCTCAATACTGCCTTCAGGCATGAAACACAGACACCAAAACAGTCTGTGGACGAAGTGAATGTTGCCTATAAAGGGAGGACAGCAGGCAACCTGAGGCTGTATATTAAAAGGAAGCCAGTCAAGTGGGGGTTTTAAGTTCTTTGCATGCCCCCTGAGGATGGCTTCATTCATGACATTGTGCTGTACCAAGGCAAGTTACCATTGAGGCTCATGATGTCCCCTTGTCAGCTGGAGAAAATGACACCAGCTATATTGTCGCTGTTCTGGCCACTACAATCTCTTCTCCCATGACTTCTGCCATCTTTGCAAACAAGTTCTTCACCAGTCTGGAGCTTTTGAGGTACCTCCAAGACCAGAGCTGCAGGTACTGTTTACTGTACGGCTTCCACCGCCCCGCACTTGGCATACGCTCTGTCGCATAGCAACCTCCCCACAGTTGATGCACAAAGCAGGGAAAGAATGGATGCTGAATTTCCCACTGTTCTGTGTGTTATATTTTCGAGGAGCATCAGCAGCACTACTGTTGTCAAATAAATCATATTTATAGTCCCCATACTGCAGAGATGTTGGAATCTGAGCTTAAATGTCAGCCAAACCCATTTACCCAGGGACAGACAAAACCTTTCAATAAATCAAATATTAATCACCACATATTTCTATCAATTGACATCTAAACAACTATTTTACTTAATTTCAGACGGAACTATTTACATACTTGTATTATAACAAACTGCACTTACAACATTTCCCTTTTTTCTCTGAGCACGGAGAAGACAACTTGCTTGGACCCGCAATGTATCACAGGATACCAAAGGCTATGTAGGTTACACCAGACCCATCCTTCAAAACGGCAAAAAGAAGTCTCCTTTTGTCGGCCGTATAACGAGGAGACTTCCAATCTAAACCGGACAAAGCGCCGCTCTATGACCTAATCGACTGACAAATCTCCCCTTCGAAGGATGGAGCCAATGGTTCCAACACACTATTGATGTGCACCTCTGCCCCTGAAAATGGCCATATGAAAATGCCATAATGGTCTTTAAGAAATTTATCTCAGGCCCTGAATGTCGTTTTAAAAAGGCAATCTGTCCTTCCTGAACAGGCCTGCTGACCTTTTCTATAAAGGAGTTCCTTTCACTCTGCCAGCCAAGGAAAACATTGCATTGAGTGCATCGAATACAGTTGTTCTTGGGGCAGCCTTGCCCGCTGCAACACGTTGGCTCTCCCAGGTCAGTCATCTCTGGAAGATGTGCAGCAGAACATATGCTAAAACAGAAATGTTGTATAAGAGGTGACCCGAGACCCTTTCCTTGATTGTGCAGAATGTGGATTCTATCCCTCTTCACCACCAACATGAGCACCTTTAACGACGTCATACTATTTTGATGAATACCTGAGCTCTTGCCATACAAAAATTGAGAAACTTCATGATAGTCTGTCTTGGTGTGCTGTTTTCCCAGTTATCTTGTCGATATAGCATCATAATGTGAATTTGTCAACTTCTTGATGTGGACACTCATTCTGTAGTAACTTATCCTGTCTGACAAGTCAAACCCAAACATCTTTGTTTCATATTCTCTTACAATGCTTGGCTGTGTCATATTTTTTGTCCTCCTTTGACCATCGTTGGCAGGTACCTTAGGCTCTTCTGCTTGAGCAACAGAAAGCATGACGACTGGCATATTGTCCTACCACTTGACAGCATAGAGCTAACCATGTCAGAGTTGGTTCACTACATAGCTTTTTCAACTTTAAAGACATTTTAATTTATTTAAACATTTAAAATTTGCATTGCCTTTCGATTTTTCTAACGAGTTTTGTACTGTGACCCGTAGCATTGTTTTCACTCAAATGAGTGTAATATTGTCATCTGACATTAGATGGTGTATAGTTTCTATTAATGAGGTCAGTGGGTCAAAGTTAAAAAGAATTAGGTATCAGAGCCAAGGAGGCAAAATGCAATGTCTGCATATGAAGACGCAGGGTCTCAAGATTAAACTCTATACCAGGGGTGTCAAACTGGTTCCAGAAAGGGCCGTGTGGCTGCAGGATTTCTTTTCAACCAAGCAATAGCACACCAGACTCCATTCATCTCATCAAGATGAATGAAGTCTGGTGTGCTATTGCTTGGTTGGAAAGAAAACCTGCAGCCACACGGCCCTTTCTGGAACCAGTTTGAGATGCCTGTTCTGTACCAAAATCTAAAGTATTTGAACACCCTGCTATTTTGTAATTTCTCCCCCTTAGGAATTACGGAGGGGTCTGAAATTGTCATCGTAGCTGCATGTCCTCTGTGAGAGACATCATTAAAAAAAAAAAAAAAAAATCCAGAAAGCACAAGATATGGTTTTTAACAATTGTATGACAAATCTGCAATAAAATATTTGAAACCCTGTCTATAAGCAAAAATTCTTACACTGAAAGACCTTGAAAGACCTCTTAGTCTGCCTTCAGAATGTCCACCACGACTGTATTTATTATCATAAATTAGATGCATCTGTTGGAGGTCGTTAGTTGCATAAAGACACCTGTTCACCCCAAACAATCAGTAAGAATCCAGCTACTAACATTGCCAAAACCGAAGAGTTGTCCAAAAACCAGTGGTGGCTGGACAATAGAGGGCGCCGCCCCACCCAACCAATGAACATTAAAAAAAGTAAATATTTTGAAATCTAGTGATATGTTTTTTTAGATGTGCAAGATGGATATTTATTCTTCTACTCTCTTCTAATGACGAGTAAAGCGTAATTTCGTTTTTCGTCTTATTGGTGATGTATTTCCACTTTAGGGCACAAAAATGTTTGCCCATTGACTCTCGTTAAAAGTTGTACATGAGCAGTAGCTTCTCTGCAGTACAATGTCTATGGTGGCCTGGTGCTCAGCTCTGGTGCGCCCTGAGGTGACTGGAATGGTTTTACTCTACACCTCCCACCACAGCACTGACGTCACAGTCATACTTATAAATTGCTGCAGATTGGCTGATTGAGGCCATCTGCCCTGAACCCCAGTCGTCCTCGGCAGATGGCCATTCACACTGAGTCTGGCTCTGCTGAATGTTTCTTCCTGTTAAAATTGAGTTTTTCCTCTCCACTGTTGCTGCAAGCGTGCTTGGTGTGAGGGATTGTATTTGAGTCATTTATTCAATGCAATCAACTGGTTTTCCTTAGATGTAAAACTGAATCAATTTGACTGTATGATCTGGTTGAATTGTAAAGTCCCTTGAGATGACGTGTTGTAAATAAACTGAATTGAATTTACAGGTCGAGTCACAGGAGTTGGAGACGCATCGGACACAGCGAGAGAGAGAAATGGCACAAGAAAAAAAAAATTCAGTCAAGTCCCTTAAAGCGACACCTTTTGAGTGGAGAACTTATCAAGAGAAGCTGGAGGTGAAGGCTCTTGGTCCTGATAAGCCGAACATCAATATTAACCAGCTGTCCAACGACAAAGGGAGACGGTACACACGGTCTTTTTCCAGGACCTGGTTTAGCAACAAGGCTTGGCTAACAGCATGCACCGAGGCTAATGCTTTATTTTGCTTTCCATGCCTCGTTTTTCAAACATCAGGATCTGACCCGGCATGGATAAAAACTGGTATTACCGATTTAAAACACTTTTCAGAAAGGGCAAAGAAGCATGAACAATCTGGTATCCACATGGAAAATGCACTGCAACTAGCCATGTTTGGGAAAATAAACATTTCATCCCAGCTTGATGAAGGATACATGGTAGGGATTCGCAAACATAATGAGGAGGTTGACAAAAACCGCCACATCTTATCAAAAATAATAGACTGTGTCAAATTCTATAGTGCATTTGAGCTTGCCTTGCATGGCCATGATGAAAGTGAGAGCTCAGAAAACCCCGGTGTTTTTAGAGGATTGGTGGATTTTGTAGCATCACTGGATGCAGTTCTTCACCAGCACCTGCAGAATGCCACTGTGTTCAAGGGAATGTCTAAGACAGTACAGAATGACCTCCTTGACTGCATGCTGTCAATTTTAAGAGAGTGCATCCTTGAAGAAATCAGGAGTGCAGACTTTGTCTCCATCCAGGTTGATGAAACAATGGACATTTCCACTCAGTGTCAGCTGGTGCTTGTGATCCGCTACATTGACAAAGCCCATCATGTCCAAGAACGTTTTTTTGAGTTCATTCCCCTCCAAAGTGCCACAGCTGATTCAATCACCACAGCACTTCTGGATAGCTTGAGTTCCATTTTCCCTGATGACCAGAGAAGCAAGCTCATTTCCCAAGCTTACGATGGTGCAAGTGTCATGAGAGGTGCTACAGGTGGTGTACCGAAGAAGATCAAGGAAGTCTATGTGAATGCACACTATGTCCACTGCTATGCTCATAAACTTAACCTCATCATGCAGCAGGTGACATCCCACATCCCAAGAGTGAGTCATTTCTTCTCAGACCTGGCTGGATTATCTGGCTTTTTTTTAAGATCTCCAAAGAGAACCTGTGTGCTTGATAGAGTGGTGGCTCACAGACTCCCCGGAGCAAGCACAGTGAAGTGGAACTTCAACAGCCAAAATGTGAGCACCGTTTTTGAACATAAAGAAGACCTGCTCCAGTGTTTTGAAACCATCAGGGACTCAGGAGAGTTTGATCCAACCACTGTGAGAGAAGCTGGAGGATTTGTGAGGCTACTGGAGGATGATTGTTTCAGCTTCTTCCTGAAGCTGTTCCATCATATCATGACTCATGTGGACATTCTCTACAGTCAGCTTCAGAAGAGGACCATCAACTCAGTCTTTTTTCAGAAGGTCATGCAGCAGTTCACAGATGGTATACAAAAGATCAGGTAAGTTAATCTCTATTGTGCTTTAACTAATTCTCATATCTAATTTTACCTGATTACTAATGAACACGTCTCTACGGGTTCTGTTCAGAGATTCCCTCCCTATGCTCTGTGGAGAACACTGTGGCAATGTGTCTCAACTGGCCAGGAGACGCCGCACACTGGGCCCAGGTGATCTTGAGAGGATAGCCACAGAGGTGAGGCAGAAACTGAATATGGGGTGTCATCCATTTTTCATCCATTTATGTGTCGCAGTTAATGCAGCCCCGGCACTCTGTGACCGCAGACAGTACTGCAGACAGGGGGCCTCTGATTGGTCACATCTACATTCGCTCTAGACTATGCCCATTTCCTGTTTGGTACCTTATTGGCTTGTTTTGTTTGTAGAAAACAACTCCTGAAGTTGGACAAGCTAGAAGAGCGAGGTGCGCGAGAACGCTGGGACCCTTTATCCACCTGGATCTACCCTCATGTCCTTCCGTTGTCGCACAATTTGCCCCTTGTGTTTTTTCACTTTCTCACCGCCTCGGTCATATCTAGACCCACAGCTAGTTCATGATACATGCGACATACATGAGACAAGTTAACTGCGACAAACTGATGCAGGAGTATAACAAACCCATCACACCTTAGGAGAATTTAGAGAAGCCAGCTAACCTAACAGTCATGTTTTTGGACTGTGGGAGGAAGCCGGAGTACACGGCGAGAATCCACGCATGCTCAGGGAGAACATGGAAACTCCATGCAGAAAGACCCAGGGCCGGGAATCAAACCCGGAACCTTCTTGCAGCAACTGCAAGCAGGGCTACCCACTGCGCCACTGGGCAGCCCCTTGCATCTTAATGTGTTTAATCATAGTGCTATATTCTCAAAAAGGGGACACACACCTTAGAATACGTCTTGTATAATATTATATAGTGTACTTTTTAGGTACTTTGTTAATTTGCATAGTTGCTCTTAAATAACCACATTTTCAGAAAAATAAATAGTTTTTATGTATTAAAAATAGTAAGCTAACTAATATCTTCTCCATTAATAAACTGCTATATGTATTTTTTTTTTTTTAGATTTGTGACACCATATTGGAGCATGCAAATCAGAGGTTTGCGTTCACAAATCATCTGGTCAGTGCTACACTGCTGCATGCAGACAGATTCCTGGAGTACCACAGGCAGTTCCCTAATGCTGCACTAAACACCACCATTGAGGCTTACCCACTGCTCAACAAGAACAAACTGAAAACTGAGCTGGCTCTCATCTACAGCAATGCTGGGTTCAGGAGGTGCAGTGGTGCTGTGGCTCTGTACCAGTTCTTCATGAGGAACGATCTACAGGACATCTTCTCAGAGACTGTGGCTCTGCTGAAGATCCTCATCACAACTCCCATGACCACAGCTGAATCTGAGAGGTGCTTCTCAACACTGAAGAGGATCAAGACCTTCCTCAGGAACACAATGTCACAGGACCGTCTCAATGCCCTGGCCATGGTCTCTATGGAGAAGAACCTTATTAAAACCATCCCTGACTTCAACCACAGAGTCATTGAGAAATTTGCTTCTCTCAATGACAGAATGGCAACATTCATGTACAAAAAATGAACCTGTACATGATTACATGAACCATTGTTTTTTTATGTAGTGTTTTTCATAATGTTGTTTTTTGTTGTTGTTTTCATATAAATATATGTGATAACTTAGTATCCATTTGATTGGTTTTTGCTATACGGCTATTTTGAATTTGTAGCCCCTGGTGAAAACTCCATCAGCCACCTTTGCCAAAATCACTAGAGACAAAATTATACATCTCCACAAGTCTGGAAAGGGCTACAGGGAAATTGCCAAGCAGCTTGGTGAAAATGGTCCACTGTTGGACCAATCATTAGATAATGGAAAAAACTAAACCTAACTGTCAATCTCCCTTGGCTGCATGCAAGATCTCACCTCATGGGGTCTCAAAAGATCCTAAAAAAGGTGAGAAATCAGCTCCTCCTGTGTAGTTCAGCCCTAAACTACACGGGAGGAGATGGTCAATGACATGCAACAGGGTTCCCGCGGGTCCTTAAAAAGTCTTAAAAGGCATTGAATTCTTCAAAATAAAACTAAGGCCTTAATTGGTATTAAAGTGTCTTAAATCAGTCTTTCGTAGGTCTTAATTTTTAAAACGTCATAAATAGGATTATTTTTATTACGATTTATTTTTGTAATCTGAATAAAACATTAAAATTTACAATTTTTTTTTTTATTTAAAATAACAGCTCGCCATTATTGGTTCCGTCCCGACAGCGGAACCAATAAAAGCATTGTTGCTGCCGGGACATTTGGGAGATGCACCATTAAGTTTTTGTCTGGAAAATATAAGCAAGTGTAAATGTAACCAAAATTGTCTCCAGCCAAGAGTTTTCTCCATGGCTAAAACCAGGGAACATTCATGAGGCTCAGTGGATTTTGTGCAAGAAGTCATTCAAGCTCGGAACGATGGGAATTAAGGCAGTGGAGTCGCACATGCGAAGCGCGAAACACAAAATGAAGTTACGGAGAAACAGCCGGTATTTCTCGCTTTTGTTCCACCCTTGTCTCTGCAAAGCCTCCACTTTTCACCACTAGCACTTAGTGCTAGTAGGTTCCCAATGGGAAATTCCATCGTTACCAAGTAGCACTAAATTGGTGATTTAGAAACGACACTGTCAAGGAACGCTATGGACAGTGGAGACATGCAAGAGGAGGAGAGTTTAGTGTCGGAGGTCGTGGATGAGTCTCCTCCGTCATCCATTTTTTAGAGGAGGAAAGCGGGGACGAAGATGTTGTGGAAGAGGACGCCAGGGCGGCAGAAGCTTGGTTTGGTGTAGAAGGCTTCCTGCCGTACATGTTTGAGCCCTTGCCTCGCAACGCTGCCAGTTCTGTTAGCTCTACGCCTGCCGAAGACACAGACGTCCATCCCCGTGAACACTGGGACGCAACTCAAAGGGAAAGGAAAACTTTTTTTTTTTATTTCAACCATTGCGTATATTAGCAGCGACACATGAATCAAGATGCTATGACCAAAAAATTTTGATTGACAGATGACGTTTATATATTATTGGCTGAATTTAGGTGTTCAGGCTGACATATAACTAACTGACCTGCTTAAGGTAATATAAAAAAAACCCACAGATTTGAAGACATAATTTTTTTTATCTTTTAAAAGAAATGTTTTCAATTTTGGGAAAATATAATCTGATAAAGAGTACATATATATACATGTTTAAGCCAGAATGATTTGACATTTAAATATGACTTCCCTACGACTTTAAACCAGCACATGTCAAGGCCCGTCTTCAGTTTGTTAAGGACCATTTGGATGATCCAGCGAAGTCATGGGAGAAAGTCATGTGGTCAGATGAGACCAAAATAGAACTTTGAGTACCATCCCAAGAACACCTTCCCTACTGTGAAGCTTTGTGGTGGTAGGTGTTGGATTTAACCCAAACACTTCTCAAAACACCTGGGGAAGAAGGACAAGAGATGTTAGATTATTTTTACTTGCTAGGAGAGCAGGTAGAAATGTCCTCAGTTACAAACTCCAACCACTCTGAAGTCCCTCTGCTGTCTTCCTCGCTCTTAATTAGGAAAAAAGGGGAGTCCCTAGTTCCAATAGATAACACTGTAACTCTAAAGGATGTGTGGGGAGTAAATTGCAGCATGATACAGGGAAACACACATTTTTTCATGCAGGTGGTGACCTTGAGTTATACACATGAAGAACATTCAGTTCATGGTACCTGCAAAGTAATTCTTTCACCAGGGTTAATACAGTATAAGATAAAATGAAATGGCTCCAACAATAGTATCATGCTTTGGGATGATTTTCTGCACATGGGACAGGGCGACTGCACTGTATCAAAAGGAGGATGACCAGGGCCATGTATGGCAAGAGTTTAGGGAATGACCTCCTTCCCTCTGAGCATTAAAGAATGGTGGAGGCTGGGTCTTCCAGCATGACAATGACCTGAAGCACATAGCCAGGATAACCAAGGAGTGGCTTTGGAAGAATCATATCAAGGTTCTAGTGTGGCCTAGCCAGTCTCCAGACCTAAACCCAGCAGAGAGTCTTTGGAGGGAGTTCAAACTCTGTTTCTCAGCGAAAGCCAATAAACCTCTCTGATCTAGAGAATATCTGTGTGGAGGAGTGGGCCAAAATCCCTCCTGCAGTGTGTTCAAACCTGGTGATAAACTACAGGAAATGTCTGACCTCTGGAATTGTAAACAAATGCTGCTGTACCAAATATTAACATTGATTTTCTCGGGTGTTCAAATACGTATTTGCAGCTGTATCAAACAAATTAACAACTAATTTTAAAAAAATGTGATTTCTGGATATTTTTAACACTGTCTCTCACAGTGGACATGCACCTACAATAATTTCAAATTTCAAACCCCTCCATGATTTCAAAGTGGGAGAACTAGCAAAATAGCAGGGTGTTCAAATACTTATTTTCCTCACTGGATCTCACCTTCAGTCTAAAAATAAAATGCATTTTGCATGATATCTGTTTGCATCAGACCCTCAATTTTTCCCTCTGTCAACATTTACAACCTGTCCTAAGAAAAAGAGCAGCAAAAAATAAAATTGGGAGTGTCGGCATAGAGCTTGGAATGCAGAGGTTCTTCTGAGTTCTAGCCCCACTCCTACAGAGTGCCAAACTGGGTCCCTTTAACCCAATACTGCTCCCCAGGCACTGTACAATGGCAGCACACTGCTCCCCAAGGGGATGTGGAGCAGAGCAAAGCTTACTGAAGCGACGGGGGAATTTATGGAGGCGAATGGCAGGATTTTGGTGACATTTGATTGCTGCCTCACCTGCAAATGACTTTGAAAAATCTGAACTTTAGTTTACATTCGTGTTTCGTAATCTAATCAGGGACTAGATGTGGGTACTGTGAAGGAGTGCAGCAGAGATGAGCCTATTTAAAAATAGAAATTGTAGCTAAATAAAATAATGTTGACAATGACTAAAGTTCGAATTGAGAGGATTTAAGGTGACTTCAAAATCCATTTTAATTCAGCTTGAAAAACAATTTCTTCTTCAAACACTGGTCACTCGATTCCTTCTCTCTCCAGCTCTGCCATTGTCTGCTTCGGCTTGGCTGATCCTCCTCTGTTTTCTTTTCATCTTCAGCAGTTAGCTTCTAGAGGCTAGCTCCAGCCAGCTATAGCCTCTCCCCGCTCTGACTCCCATGGCTTGCTTCTCCAATGTGCCACTGTCCTACTCCTGCGCAGTCGTAGTCTCGAACCTGCCTTCTCTGCTCTGCAGGGATTAAAGTGTTCAGGCCCCGGCTTGTAGCGATTCCTTGTGGGTAAAAAAAAAGTCACTCAAAAATAAATTGAATGCAGACAACTTTGTTCAGCTTTCTAAAGTGAACACGGCTGGTTGCTTTGTAAATCCATGTCCTGTACGATGAGGTGCCTTTCACCTGCTGTGAAATGCTTTTCACGGTAGAGTCCTGCACGGGTCGAGTTTTACCAACCCGCACCAGTCCGAACCCGTTAGGATGACTACCTAACCCGACCCGTCACCCGCAGATATCTTCAATTTAAATCCGAACCCGACCCATTGATATTTAACCCGCAACCCGACCCGTTAAAAAATCAAGTAATAGGCTATAGTATGCTGCGCTGCAGAACAGCGCCATTAACACTGCAGCAGACGTGTATGCACTGACTGTGGCCTTTTTGGAGGGAAGCCCACACTGCCAGCAGGGCTTTAAGCTACAACAAAGGTGACCCCAGACAGTGCCTGATTAAAATAACATTTCTGATGTCCATAACAATAGACACGCATAAAAAAAAATATCGCCAACTACCCGCACGCACTAAAAAAATATCCGCTCGATCCCAACCCGTTTATTTTTATTTATGTATTTTTCACCCGCAAAAGAGCATTTTTGCGGGTGACCCATCGGGTACCCGACCCGTTGCAGGACTCTATTTCACGGGTCAGGCAAGTTTCAAGGCGAGCAAAAGCAGAAGAAACTGGCAGAAATGTGTCACTCTCAGTGCGAACCCATTTTTAGGAATGTTGATTTTTATCCAGATTTTTTTTTTTATATATATATATATATATATAATGCATGGTTGTTTTTTTTTTGTTTTTATATTGAAATTCAGAATATAATTCAACCGTACATGTATGAACCCTTGTCGGACCCGGAGAGTCCATCTACGGAAGAACCGGAGAAAGAACAGAGAATCCTACAAGATGTCTCCACTTGGTGAGATATCTCCCACTGATCATCTAATACACCAAACACCTTGAATATACAACCTATGAAGCTGTTTGGCACCAACATAATAAGAGGCTGTCATTGTTAGAACATGTTTTGCAATGAAACGATTTATTTGTCAAGTACTATTCCTTCTCACAGGTGTCTCTGTGGTTGTTGCCATACCATGCCCACTGAAGAAGAAAATGTTTGCTGCAAGGAGATCCCAAAGGTGTATCTCTCTTTCTTTGATTTATACAAGATCAGTGCTGATTCAGTATTGAATCATTTAGTTGTTATCCGTATATGAAGTTATCGAGAAATTTGTATATTACCTACAAATATCTTTTTTTATTTCTGTATTATCTGTCAAATGTATTCAGTTAAACTTTGAAGCTAACGACTACATGTTTTTCAAACCTGATAGGTGTTGAGAAGGATTAATCAGCTGCCAACAGAGCTAAACTGCATCACAAACCATCCTGGATTTCAGGTGAACTGTTTGAATCAGTTCGTTCTACAAAATATCAACAACATTTACAGAGCTGATTATGGACGTGTACGGAGAAAAAGAGTGACGGAGTATGTATTCAAGAACATTTGAAATTTACTAACATTTGCAATATTTTTTTGTAAAATTTGATTATATTTATTGAATATTATTAAATATCAAGTATTATTAAATATGAATAAGTAACATTTAACATTAACAGTTTTGTTATAATTCTAGTCGTTTCAGATTTCTGGCTCAGACGAGTTTTGTGAGTTGGTGCTGGGGATTCATTGGAGCAAGATTAAGGGTCGTAATCCCGTCATGTGCTGTCTGGAGGATTTGTCAGGAATTCCCAGATCCTTGCGAGACAAACATTGAGTTCAAGACTGTTGGCTTCCTAGCGCCACTGGATTAAATTCAACGTTTGAGCGGGAACATTCACCTCGTTTGAATGCCTGTAAAACATCAGCAGAGGTTCAGGGTTGTGCAACAGCACCTCCTTCAGCCACCTGTGGTACTTTTTTTGGGGTCAATAAGTACCTTGTTCAAAAATCATTACTCTTTCAACATGTTAAATAATAAATGCAGTTTCTGTTACAAAATGTATTTTCTTTTTTGGAAAGTGTTTAAAGTGTGTTGAACCATAAACCATAAATAAGATCCTTTTCATTACAGCCTGTTGATATTTCAAGAAATTACATTTATTATTTGTATCATCCGGACAATTCTTTTCTTTGTGTTGAACTTAGTGCTGCACCAACTTGTTATTCACCAGATACCAAAATGATGCAAAGTTAAATTTCACACTGTTAACATTAGTTATAAAACTAAGACAATGAAGTCTAAGGAACCTATGCAAAGTACATATACGAGAGAAATCCAGAATTGTAGAAGCAGTTTGCAATAACCAGTATAATGTTTAAAGCTTCTGTCCTTAAAATTGGTTTCTGCATTACTATAACTTTTATACATTAAGTAGTTTTAAAAGTGTAAAAATACTTTACACTTTTACTTCAGTAAAAAGCAGAAGTTAATACTCTTCTATAAAATTGTTTTTAACAGGATTTATGCCTGTACTTATCGTAAAATGGGACAGATGGACCCAGTATTCAGGTAATACAAAAAAAATACAAAACAGAAACGTAACGGGGGCTGCTGTGGATCAGCTGACATGCGTCGGCTGCAGAGGGGGCAGGGCACCACCCGATCACTGACACTGTGGAGGGAGAAACACTGGTAAGTGACAGCGACCTGTCATTCCTCTCTGGAAGGCAGGATCCAGCCAATAGACTGCCAAACGAACTGCGGCGCACAGCCCCCTAAGTGTTCCCGATGCAGCAAACCCAGTGAGCAGTCAGGAATCCGATCCAAGTAAGGGAACACAGATCAGACGGGACAGTTCTGGAATCCAGGGGTCCGTAGCCGGGCCGGGGGTTCCGATCCGAACAGGAAGAGACAGATCCAGGGTTCCAGAATCCACAAAGCGTTCAGGCAGGTTCAGAGTTCCAATGAGTCCAGCTGTAAACTCAGACAGACACACTCAGAAGGAGACAGGCAGGCTCAGTGGTTGAGAGGATTGTAGACAAGACATTGTACCAGGATAACTGCCAAACTTTAAACCATACTCCTCCTGGGAGCCAGGATCATGGGAATTAAAACTGGCCTCCACCGTACTACAAACAAAAACACTGAGGGCTCCAGGGATAAGGGCCAGAAACCGGCTCTTCTCACCATCTTCAATTCAGAATTAAAGCTGAACCTTGTTGATGTGTAATTTCAAAATTAAAGCCCATAAAATCCCTACACTTAATCTCTTTGACCTAATTTGCTCGCCATATTGCTACTAAACTATTTATTTTCTGTGAAAGCTGCCATTTTGAAATTTTAGTAGAACACCTCCAGATGTTTCTCATTAAGTTTCATCAAATCTGATGTTGAATTTCTAAATAAAAGCCCCATAAAATCCCTACACCTAGTATTTTCAACCTAAGTTGCTCACCATAGCTGAAGATTTGAGAAAGAAATGTTTTTATTTGCAATACTGTTATTAATCACTACTTTGCTTTCTAATTTGAGAGTTTGACAGGAAGATTGATTATAATTTATTTAAAAAAGCAAAACAAAAGACAAGATGTGACTAGAAATAATAAACATCTACTTCTACCTTTAAGTAGAAAATTGTAATTGACAATTTGTAATTATTATAAGAATTACAAATTGAATTATAAAAATTACACTAAGAATTACCTTAATGTGATTCAAGTATGGAAAGAAATGTTTGACATAAAACCAGAGGAAACAAGGATGATTTTGTACCAATAACAAAAGACCACAGGCAGGAAGAGGGCGGGGCTTAACAAGCAATCTGCCAAACAACCAAGAGGGGTTGTCTAATTGTCTGAAGGAGCAATGAAAGAACCATCATCTCTGCTGAGTCTGCTCTGTAAGTGGAACATTTATCTTTTAATATAAAGGTTTAAATTAGAAAAGAAGCATTAAAGGACTGACATGGTTTTATCCCAGAACAAGCCAGGATCAGCTAGAGGCTTTATGACAGTGGTGTTTGGTTGGGTGTTAGTTGAGAGGAACTGCTTAAACTGTCGGCAGGGGGTGGAGACAGTTTGAACGATATCAGAGACGACAAATGTTACAGAAATATGTAAAATACGGTTAAAAACATAATTACCAGGCAGTTCTTTTGCCTTTTTCACTTAGTATAAAAACAATGGATTGAATTATTGATCATTAATTAATAACATCAAAACTATAACCTTTTTTTTAGTTCTGACATCAGTGCTGTGGAGGTTGACAAACCAAGGTCTGTAAATGTATTCATTCCTTTGCTGTATGTCTCATGTTATATTCATCAGTAACACTATCTAATAATAATAATAATAATAAACCTACCCAGCTGCTCTGACTGTGAGTCCCAGCAGATCTCAGTTCTTTCAAGGAGAATCCGTGTCTCTGAGCTGTGAGGAGAACAACAGCTCTGCTGGATGGACTGTATGGAGAAACACAACTGAAGGGAATAACAAGTGTAGAGATGGATGGGGGGAACCAGCTGGTTGTACCTGCAAAATTCTCCTCTTGCTGTATTGGGACAGTGGAGTTTACTGGTGTGGGTCGTCCAGAGAGGGAGCAGCCAGCAGCAGCATCCAGCTCACTGTCACTGGTAAGATCAGACTGTGGAGTTAGTGTTGATGAAGCTGTGTGGAAATGGATGAAATGCTGTAGTTTGTCTCTGTGTTGAGGTGGATCAGTGATCCTGCAGAGTCCTGTCCTCCCTGTGATGGAGGGAGATGACGTCACTCTGAGCTGTCTAACAAAGACCACTCCCTCCAACCTCCCAGCTGCTTTCTATAAAGATGGCTCCCTCATCAGGACTGAGCCCAAAGGTCACATGACCCTCCACCATGTGACCAGCTCTGATGAAGGCCTCTACAGGTGTAAGATCAGGGGTCATGGAGAGTCTCCATCCAGCTGGATCTCTGTTGAAGGTCAGCATCTTCTTTCTCTGCTTCAATCTTCATTATGAGACAGAATAAAACTGATGAGTTTAGTTTACCTATTTACAGGAAATCCCTCCATCCCTCCTCCTCCTGACTTAACCACACATCCACCTGTATCTGTTACAGGTCAGCAGCTTCTCTATCATTTATTTTCTGTTAGTTGTGCATCCCTTGACTTGGTGTGATTCTCCCTGCAGGTAAATCTACTCTCCAAGCTCCACCTACATCAGCCACAACTAATGTTGGACTTCATATTCATATTTTTATCCACCTGCTGATGCTTGGTCCATACCTCATCTCTACTCTCCTTATTGTTTCTATATATCGACGAGCAGCAGGTACCATTGTACTCTATAAATTAATCAATCCATCGGTATTGTTTCCAAAGGTATTAATTAATTGATCGCACTTTAATTTTCTCCTCTGGCTTCAGGAACCTCCTTCGTGTGGATGAACAGGTCCACTCAGACCAAGACTGGATTGGATGATAACTCTGATGATGTCATCAGTGGTGTTACTGCAGAACATCACTAGCCTGACTCTGCCAGATGGATTTGCTCCTCATATCCATCTGGAAA